TTGGCCTTGTTAAACCTCATACAGTTGGCCTTGGCCTATCGGTCCAGCCTGTCCAAATCACTCTGTAGACCCTTCCTACCCTCCAGCAGATCGACACTCTCACTCAGTTTGGTGTCGTCTGCAAACTCACTGAGGGTGCACTCAATCCCCTCATCTAGATCATCGATAAAGATATTAAACAAGGCTGGCCCCAATTGAACAAGGTTAGTTTAGTACAGCTTCTGCAAGTGTTGCAGCCCTACATGGCGTGACAACAAGCAGTACTGCCTATAATTGCAAGTAGCTGTATACTTTTCTGTTTCCAGGGAACAGTATTAGAATGAAGCTAAACAGACCTTTGATACTTAAACTACTACTACTGCTAAGACCTTTGCATACAGCGTATCTGTTTTGTCTCACTGCAGGGGCGGGGGGGGGGGGGGGGGGGGGGGCTCCCGGGTTGGGAGTGCTCCAGAGGTGGAAGTGTGTGGCTAGAAGCAGTAGGTTAATGGGGAACTTCTCTAGCTATTGGGATGTTGAGGTATGAGTGACTGGTCTGCCTTCAGGCTTTCTAGTCAGTAGATATGAAGGATGATGCACCTTTAGTAAATCCTGCTTCAGTCTCCTACTGGGAATCTTATTCTCTGCAGCTGGGAGAGGGAGGCTCCAAACTTCTGTACAGGCACCTCTCTGCTGCTCATGCTCTTGGTTGCTTTAATCAGAATGCGATTTCTAACCATGTATGTTCTCCTTAATTGATACTAGAAGAATATTTAGCAAGAATTTATTTCCCTCTTTCTTCCCAGCGGAGCATGCTTGTGTATCTAATCCCTGTGCTAATGGTGGAATTTGTCACGAAGTTTCATCAGGCTTCAAGTGTCACTGCCCACCAGGGTGGAGTGGACCAACATGTGCTATTGGTGGGTATGCATTTCCTGATGACTGACCTGTTGGGTTGGAAGGACTGATACAGCTTACTTGACAATCATGCTCTGTGGGTATGGAATTCAGTGGTAGTCTTGTACCTTACCTGTGTTAACCTATGCATTGGGAGCTTCTGAAAAGATTAATGGTACTGTGTGCAGCCATCAGTATCTGTTTGATGCAGTTGAGATCTACAGGTTATCAAAAGCATAGCTGAACCATATACAAAGAAGTGCCCTGTTGCCAAAGCTTGTAGGACAATTTGTGACTCTTTAGCCAGACTAAAGCAAAATACAGAATGGATTTGTTTTAAGAGGTATAAATGTGAATGTGAAAGGTTCTCCCCTTAAAGTAGTAGTAGAGTAGATTACTCACTCATATATGCTGAAGTGTCTGGTTTGGAAGACAGGGAAGTGGTTGAAATGTATTTTGGACCTATATAATTGGTTTACATGTTGCCTGTGGTTTGGAACACAGGATTTTTATCCATTTTTCAACAGCAGCTATCCTCAGAAAAAAAATACTGGCTAAACTCGTGTCATGATCTAGGAACTTGACTTTCAATGAATGTGTTAATCGTTGGCAGATTAACTGAAGCATCTTGTTTGCAGATAGAAAGTTTCAGAGTTCCTCTCTCCCCTGTCTCAAAGATGTGAGAAAAGCCTAAGTAAAAATTAGGTTAGAAATGTTAGTCTGTTCCTAAGCTTATTTGTTTATACATTCTCCCCTGTCATCTCAAAATAATTTTAAGAAAAACACAGGTTAAGCCAAATCTTAAACCATGTAATGGAAGGCGCACTTTGACTTTCCAGATATTGATGAATGTGCATCTAACCCTTGTGCTCAAGGAGGGACCTGTATTGATGGTGTTAATGCATTTGAGTGTGTGTGTCCACAACAGTGGATTGGAGCAACATGTCAGCTTGGTAAGTAATTACCTTCTAAAATTTTGAAGACCACTGGAGATTGTATAAATAACAAATAACTCTGTGTGTTTCTCTGATGTGATTTTTATTGAAGAAAACACTGAAGATGTGTGTTGCTATTGATACCTTAGCTGTTTTTCAGTAGATCTTAAAGCCAGAAGTTTCAAGTGAACTTTTAACTGTTTAAGCCCCAATTTAAGCTTACTTATAGTTCTTCTAGAATGCCCGATAATTTTTCTGTTTCAAAATACAGCACTGGTGATGGTAGCTCCTTCTTCATGGTGGCAGAACAATGACTATAAACTTATGGAGGCAAGGAAGGGATTTGCCCTGACTAACATATTACCTTTTTGAGTTTTGGCAAAGGGATAAGTAAGATAACATGCATGTGCTACTATAGACAAGCGTGCATTAAAAAACCTGTGGTATGTAAATGGTTTCAGTGCCCTACCAATGTATAATATGAGCTTCTGATGCTTGGATTGCATGGAAACTTTGCTTGGTGCTGTGGTAATCTACTTCTGGGTTTGTTCTTTATTCTCTTCTTTCTTTTATCTTCTTTCACAGATGCTAATGAGTGTGAGGGGAAACCCTGTGTTAATGCTTACTCTTGCAAAAATCTCATTGGTGGATATTACTGTGACTGCATTCCAGGATGGACAGGAGTAAATTGTCATATCAGTTAGTATTTCTTTAGTATATATGTTGACCATAGGATGCTTTATTCTTTAAAAAAAGGTTTTGTGATGAATGATTGTATACATGTACAAGAAAACACACCTGTTGTCAGGATTTTCCTAACTTCCAGCAATGTAAATTGAAAGTACTGTTTGAAAATTTATTTAGAGGTGTAATTGGTATTAAAATGAGCTTAGATGTACACTTGCATAACTCCAATAAATACTCTACTCATTCATCCCTGATTCTAAATGATATCATGTACTGATTGAATTTAAAATACTTTTTAGCTAAAATGTTAGATATGACATTAGCTGATAGCATTTGATATAATTTCTGTTACACTGGAATAGACATATGTAACATGTCATTTTCTATGACATATTGTTTAAAATGAGAATCTCTTAAGATGTCAAGTATCCTTGCTTTCCATTGAAACATCTAGAAAAATCCTTTCTGAAAATCATCTGTTCTGCATTTTTATGCTAGACCTGTACTTTACAGCTTAGTCTTCCAGTAAAAATTCTAATGCCGTGCATATTTTATCCATAGATATTAATGACTGTCATGGACAATGTCAGCATGGAGGGACTTGTAAGGTAACTCTTGTTTATTACATGCCATGTTGAAAATAAATCTTGTTCTGGCTAGTTATGAATTCTATAGTTTGCTATTACAGGTGGGTTAAATGAGGTTAAATGTTAAAAGTGTAGTGTTACACTTGCAGGCTCTTGCACCATTTCACAAAATAATTTTATGTGGTGCTACTGCTGTTCACAAATCCAGAATATAAAAATAACTTGAATTCTTGTGTGCAAGTTTTATAAATAAATGTTTCTACTTTTTGCTTTTTCCCCCTGCCCCTCTGTGAAGGATGAAGTTAATGGTTACCATTGCTTATGCCCTCGTGGTTTCACAGGAAAAAACTGTGAGACAGAAACAAATGAGTGTGAAAGCAATCCATGCCAAAATGGAGGCCGTTGCAAAGACCTGGTGAATGGATTCAGTTGCCTGTGTTCACAGGGCTTCTCAGGAGTCTTCTGTGAGGTGAGGGCAGTGCTGACATCACTGCAATACTTTTCATGGATTGAGTTCTTGAAAGAAACATATCTCTGGGTTTAAATGGGAGTAACCCAAGGCTAAAGCATTACTGACTAATGTAGCTGTTACTTGACACTCTGAATAAGCAAATTTGTTGTGCAGTGCTGTCATAGTAGCTGTAGCACTTGAATTTGCAGCCTGATAAACTGTAAGCTGTTGCACCTAGGTGCTGGCTCTTCTAAATGTTTTAAGGCTTCAAGTATTCCTTAAGGTTGAAACATTTTCCTTTGCAATTTTCAGGACCTGTGTCCTTTTGTTACACTAGAATGTTTTAGGTATTCATCGTAATAACTCTGAAGTGCATGATTGAGTTAGCTTTCAGGTAATCCTGCTGCTGTTGATAGGAGTATCCATGTAATTAAAGGCAGGCAGATATGCAAGCATCGACTGTCAGAACTTTCTGTTTGAAATCAATTTAGGAATGTGTAGTTCTAGTGCTTAAATAAGGATTCAGATCTGAAATACTGAAGTGCTAGTGATAATTCATAAACTACTTCATGATAGTGAAGATCTACCTCTTTCTAGGGAGGATATTAGACTTTTCAATGTAAAATTATATTGCCCTAAGTATGTACTTTCTGGTTTTTGCTGATAGCCAAATTCATGTAAGTGTTATGGTTAGCAAGGCAGCATCAACTGGAGGCATTGGATTAGAATTTGGTTGGACTTGCTCCAGAATTTTTCGTGGAGGACATTGGAGTGATCTCTCTTAAATGCTGAAGTAATTTTATTCTGTATTATTTGCATTGTTAAAGAAACAATGCCCTCCTTTTATTCAAAATTAAAAAAGGTTGCAGATACTTACCAGTTTTATTAAACTGGTGCAGTACCTAATAGCTTATGTACCATTTCTACATAAGGATCGTAGCTTGAGTGCTCTAATCCTGGCCAATTCATATGATACTGTGTAATTAAAGTTTTAGCAAATCTGTTTGAATAATAGGGGGGAGTTGGCTGCCTGCCTTGTGTGTTGCAGGAAATATCTACCATTGATTCCAGATGCTAAAGTACCAGCTACTGAACTTGCATTGAGAAGGGGAAATTTACACTAATGGAAGGAAACAAATGGAGGCATCTGATAGAGGAGATCTGAGAATCTTTCTCAGACCTTAGCTATTTTTTGTCGTTTGCTTTGAATGTTCCATATGAGAGCACAAAATAGCTTGCTGAAAATCTCTATTGCAGCCGGAATTGTATGTGCTCCTCTGAATTAAATATTTAACACCACTTGTGTTCCTTCTGCTTTGGTTAGCTTTGAATTTTTCTCCTATTTAGCAACAGAACTACTAAAAATAGTGACCAAATCCACTACCGGACTTAATTTTATATTGGTAAGGTTGAGAAATCAATTTTTCTCACAAGAGATGTGAACAGGCAAACATTCACTTGAGGGAAGGAAAGCAATCCTTAAGAATAACAATTTGGAGGAAAGATATTGTGATGTAACAATATCCCTTTTGAGGCTGCTTTGTGGATTTTGAGGCCAATTTAGGGCATCGCCAGTCAGTGATCTTGTGTGTCAATCTAAGATGCAGAAGAAGCAGAATTGCTTTGCTACAGCAGTTTGTCTGTGTTAAGGAAGCTACATTTAAGTTTTGCTTTTTGAATCGGGTGGTAAGAAGTGTTCAAAATATACCTAGTGTTTCTGTGTGTAAATTGGCATGGTGATAGTATCTGTAAGAATAAGGCCCTGAGCAGTGTGGTCTAACTAGACCTACTTTGAGCAGGAGTAGCTGACCTCTAGAGGTCCCTTCCAAGATATGTGGTTCTATAATAAATTCTATGTGTTAATTAAGATGGGAAGAGAAGTTGCTCTAGAGAACAGGATTTCTTTAAGATTCTGTGTATTTTAAGTGTCTTGCAGACACAAAGTTGACAAGTGCACTGGTATTTAACTTCCATTATAGCACTTAGTCTGTGGGTGTGAAGGACAGAGAAGTGACTTATAAAGATCCACAATAGTCACAGTAAGATGCCTCTTAACTTAGTTAGCAAAGAACAAGCCATTATCGCAAATGTGCAATTATTCAGCCTCCTGCAAAGGAATATCTTTTTAGCAGTATCAGAAATGCTTTGTGTTAGGATTGACTAAAGTAACCTGAAATTTCTCTCTGTGTTGCAGGATGGAATGCAATATATATGATTCATAAACCTTTTTAAAACTTGAGGTTCCTTGTAAATCAGCTTCATCTGTGTCTTTGGCAACTCCTCCTGGGCAACTTACTCCTGGGAAATGAAGCAGCTGCTGCTAACTATGGTCTCTCTTACAGATGGATATTGATTTCTGTGAACCTAACCCTTGCCAGAATGGGGCTAAATGTTATGATCTGGGAGGAGATTATTACTGTGCCTGCCCTGATGACTATGATGGAAAGAATTGCTCTCATCTCAAGGACCACTGCAAGAACAATTCTTGTAAAGGTACCCGCTGTTGTTGAGAAATTTGTCTTAATGTATTGATGGTACATTAAAAAAGAAAAGTAGTATTTCTGGAAATAGCATAATGCAGAAACATTTTTATTGTACTTACTTGGACTTTGTGAAATAGTGAGGCAGTGAGAAGAAATGCTTGTAACATCATTGTTTATAAAGAGGGAGAGGGTAACTTATAGCTAACATAACTTTTAAACTGTGATTAGTCTTAATTTTTGGGTAACTTTTCAAAACTAAAAACTGGTTATTAGTCTGATTATATACTTCTCATTCTTAGTAATAGACAGCTGTACAATAGAAGTCTTCACTAATGCTACCCAAGAAGGAATCCGTTTCATTTCGTCCAATGTTTGTGGGCCTCATGGACAGTGTATTAGTCAGCCAGGAGGGAATTTTACTTGTGCCTGTGAAAGAGGTTTTACTGGAGTATACTGCCATGAAAGTAAGTAGGAGTTTCTTCTAAATAATTTTGTTGCTGTAAAACTTCCTTAAAGTTTTTGTTATGAAGCTTTACAACATAAAACATTTTTAATCACATTATATAGAGCATTGTTTCAGGTGTACTGCTTGAAATCAAGTTTCTTCTGGTAACAGTTGTCTTTGTAGTGGTTCACACTTCCTCTGTGAAAGAAAACTGATTTTAGTCCAACTTCAATGTGAATGTGTCTGTACCTACTACCTTTATGTACAGTCTTACAAGAAGCCATAGATTTCTCTAATATGGGTATGACAAAGAAGGGGCCGACACATTGACAGCACAGCTTAGGAGCACATGTATTGCTGTTCCAGGTATTCTTTGAACACCTGGATATGTTTGCTAGGGAAACTTAATGGTCTGGTTTGACTTGCTACGTGAGAGAGAATACATCTAGAAACCTTACCATGCTTGAAAACAGATGTTTGAGCTGTTCTTATCTATGTACAAGTGGAGTATAACTTTGTGCTGCTTTTCATAGAGACACAAGTGTAGATCACTCCTCAAGGTAGGTGAAGACAGCCTTGAGTGATAATTGTTGACTTTTTGTCATAGATATCAATGATTGTCTTGGGAAACCTTGCAAGAATGGTGGGACATGCATTGATGAAGTTGATTCATTTAGATGTTTCTGCTCAAGTGGCTGGGAAGGAGAATTGTGTGACACAAGTGAGTACCATTAAGCGTTGCAGGGTCAAATATTACAGCTTTGCTGTAACAGTTAGTGGTGGTCGGTACATGGTTAATAATAATGGGGTAGTTTCTCTGTTCTATAATTACCTGGTGGCGTTTGCAAAAATATTTTCAAGAAGGTTTTTGGGTAGCAGCTCTAAAAGCCTCAGTTCCTTTAATAGGACCGTAATCTGATACTTTGGTATAGTATAGGATATATCTCAGGAGGAGAGAACTTCTTTTTCTCCTGAGGAGAGGCAAAAGTGAATATACCCTTTTAGGGGGTCTACTCGTTTTATTGCTTTTATTGCTATAAGCATATGTACTTCTTAGTACTTACTGTACATAAACGTTTGTCCCTTACCCAATCTACTCGAACACAGTAGTTTCCAAACTTGAAAAGCTTTTTAGCTTTAAGCCAGTGCAAGCTATAATGTGCTTCTACCTTACTGAAGGAATTTATAAATTTCATATCTATTCCTTTAGTAAGAAAAGAACTGCTTGAAGCCTGAGTTTTTACTCGGTGAATATAATGAGTCGGTGTTTTGGTATCATGAGTTAGTGGTTTGTATTCTGGGTTCAGTGGGAGCAGGCCTTTACTCTTGCTGCCCTGGCTTGAGACATATTGGGCCTTAGCTGATAAAGAAGTGTACTAGGCCAGTTTATGGTTAAGTTACCTCAGAGGAAACTGCAGTTGGTTCTTTTTCTACTCTGAATGAAGCCCCTTCTAAAATGTGAGGCAAAGACTTGCTGAGACTTATTACAGGACATGCACCAATTGAGATGTAAAATAAAAACTGAGAAGCTCTTGGCAGCTATCACTGTCAAAACAGCTTTTTGTGTGGTCTAGATAAAGTTTGGTCTGGAATGATTATGTTCTACCTATTAAAACATTTGTTTCAAGTGAAAAGAATTTTCTCTAAAATTCATGTATGTATATGTATAGACACATATATGTGTGTATATATATGGTTAAGCCATCTAATGGCTTTAACTCTCTGTATTTTGAGACATAAAGCAGGACAGGGAGCCTTAACTATCTCATGTGGATGACCTGGGTTGGGGCTCCTTTTCAGGACATCGCGGTCCCTGCTAGAAAGTTTTCTCTGAGGTTCAGAATACAGCTGTTTGCTGGGAAAATGACACTTCTTTGGTGCTCTACCTAAAAGCCATACTGAATGATACTTTTAAGCTGTCAGAACAGCTTTCATAATTCATGTTGTTCTGTGTTAAATCAGAGTTTTCTTCCTTGTTTATATAAAGATAACCCCATAACAATTAGGAACGCTGTCTTCCTAAATAGTACACAATTTATTTCCTTTATAAAGAAATACTTACACTTTCTCATGGCCTTGGCTAGGCTAGATCATCTAATTTGAATAACTGTTTTTCTAGATTTCAATGACTGTTCTCCTAACCCATGTCACAATGGTGGCCGATGCATTGATTTGGTAAATGACTTCTATTGCGAGTGTAAGAATGACTGGAAAGGCAAAACTTGCCATTCACGTAAGTGTTCTTTACTTTGATCTTTAGTTTACCCAAAGACTTATTTTCTTTCTTCACAAGAGACTAGAGTTCCTGAAATTTAAAATAAAACAATTGCAGTGAAATAATAGGCATATTTTCGTTACCTCTTCCAGTTTCCCAGCAACAAAATGGAACATTTGAAAAATGTATTCCTTCATGTAGTGAAATAGTGTTGTAAGAGTTGTCCTTAGATTCCACTCTTTTGGTTGTTTACTGTAATCAGCAAGTGGAACTATGCATTTCTACTACTGTTGCATTTAAATATGAAGTCTCTTTAAAAGTAATTTTGTGATTAAAAAGTACCTGGTCTTAAAATTCAGCAAGACCAATGGAAACTAAAACTGTTTTATTGTGGTGTATAGGTGAATACCAATGTGATGCAAATACTTGCAGCAATGGTGGAACATGCTATGACGATGGAGATACATTCCGCTGTTCATGTCCTCCAGAATGGATAGGAAGTACTTGCAACACTGGTAAGCTTTTTAAATTGTCTACAAATAAAGCCAGAAGAAGTAGGGAACTGCTTAAATAATACTTAACTGTTTAGTAAGTAGGCACACTGTTCTTCTAGATGGCTAGTTCAGTCACCAGCCAACTGGAAGAGCTTTGAAGTTTAGAGTAATTTCTTCCACTCACCTGACATGATACTGATTTTTAGGAAGCTGTTCTCCACAGGCTGCTTGCATGGTCTTTTACATAGCTTCTCCTAAGCAGATCTGGAACACTTGAACTTGTCTTGACTTCTCTGTTAGTCTTTAGACACCCTGTGTAAAGGTTTTCTTGGGAACTTAGTCCCCCACTTTACTTGAAGGTTCATAATGTGAATAAATTTTTGATGGAGAGGTGTATGAGCGGACATACTCAGGAAAGATTAAATTAAGTGGTTCTTCCTAGGGGATTTGCAGGGTTACTGCATGCTGTAGGCAATGACTCTTGATCTTCTTGGGGATTGAATGTAGTCTCCATGGTACATTTTTCTGAATATGAAACTTCCATTAGGACCAAGAAGTTGGATGAAGGTAACTTAGTACAGTTTTTCTACTTTTTAGATACAATTGTGGCATTTAAACAAAATCTGAACTTTAAATACTAGTATTTTATTATGAAGTACACCTCGTGACCTGGGTAACTCACTGCCAAAGTAGGAATTTAGCAGTATATGAAGGATGCTTTACACAGATGGGGAAGAAAGAGTTAATCTCTTTTATAAAACTTCATGGTTTAATCAAACAATTGAATTGGGATGATGGTGAAGGTAGGTGAGAGATTATCATGTGATGTGACTATTTTTGGAGTCTTTTGACTTTATTGTAAGTCTTGCACTGTTGAATTAAATGCTGTTGAGGATTGTGATATTGACATATCCAGATGATAGATACTTTTTGTTTTCTGTGCTAAATAGAGACCTTTTCTGTTTTCCAAGCTAAAAACAGCAGCTGTATTCCAAACCCTTGCATGAATGGTGGAACATGCGTTGGCAGTGGAGATTCCTTTTCTTGCATCTGCAAAGAAGGATGGGAAGGACGTACATGCACACAGAGTAAGTCTTTTCTCCTTTCTTCTTCTGCATTCCCCTGGGATATTAGGAGTGTCTGGCACAGAGCTGTTAACTGAAACAAAGCAAGTTTATAGAGTTCATATGCCAAAATATCTGAATCATTCAGGGTGGGAGGTAGGTAAAGATGATGCTCAAGTAATGAATGAAGAACTTGTCATGCTTCTTTTTGCACTTGGTCTCTGCCAAAATAAGACTTTCAGCTTTCTATAGGAATGTAATTTTTGGGAACATGTGCAGAGCAAAAAAAAAAATCCTCACAGAAATACTGATTTTAATAATGAAAAACATGTGGAAAGGCAGGCAGCAGTGTATATTCCATCACTTTTTGTGAGGATAGCAGTTAACTACTTTGACATACCAATACAATGGATTGGTTAGGTGGAGTAAAGCCTGCAACTTTGATTACCCCCTTCCCCCCCCCTCCCCGCCCCCGGGCATAACACAGGGAGTGGCAGGGCGCAGGGGGGGAATCTAAATTTGAGCTCTGTTTTTACTCTAAAGCTACTGTGAAATTACTGTATTGATGTATGCCCTAGTTAGGTGTTGTAAAGCTAACAGTGGTAGTATAAATGCTAACAAATAATTCTGAGCTGTTTTATAATGGGAAAGATTTGTTTAAGAAATCTGGCTAGTTGCACATGCATATATGAAGTGCCAAAGTAGTAGTAATCCTTCAGAAAGCTTTTAGAGCCTGATTGCATTATCTGCTACCAATGCAACCAATACCCCGTTTTATTTCTGTTATGTTGCCATTGTGCTGTGTATCAGTAGGTGCTGTTGATATATGAAAATACTGCAAAGTTGCAAAATTTTGCATTTGTCACCATGCGTAAAATTTAAGGTATTTGATTGGTCTGTTAGGTCTAATTGAACTTTCTTTGCAAGTGTGGAAGAAAACGTTCAATACTGTATTATTTTTCTTTGCTTATCAAATATAGTGTCTCTTCTAATATATAATATTGTAGTTCAAAATAAATATGCCACTAGTTACACTAGTCTGTATTCTTTTTCATAGATACCAATGACTGCAACCCTCATCCATGGTAAGTATGCAAACTCCAGTCCTGTACCTATTGTGAAAAGAAAAGTGAGCACGCTAATATGGATTTTCATTCCAGATTAGAACTAATTCTACCCTAAAATAATTGAAGACAGCCTCTGTAAAAATCTTAAAACAGTTTTTTGCCATGCCTTATCAACTCCTTGACAGCAACAAAGACCACAAAACAATCCTGAGTTGGTTCACATATGAACAGATAAAAGTATTTGTGTAGTCTTTGTGCCAGAATTGACTGGTAAATTACTGTGATACAAAATGAATCAGACTTGATAACATTTCAAGCATCTACAGTTGAGTTTTAGACTAAAAAATGAGAAATTAAAACCTGTTAGTTTACAATAAATAGTTTTAGATAATATAAAAATGTCCTGTTAGATTAAATACTATGTATAAATGTGGTTTTAAAAACAAAATTAATTTTTTGGAAGATACAGTGGGAGTATTTTAAATATAGAGGTTGATATTTATGGTTGAAGGGGAAAAATACTGATATATGGATGAAGCTAAACCATCTGCCTTATCTTTCTCTGTCCATTCTGATGCAATAACCTGTACTTCATGTATTTAAAAAACAAACAAACAAAAAACAACCAAAAAAACGAACCTTTGCAAAAGCTTGGGCTTTCTCCGTATTCACTTTACAGTGCTGTTTTATCTCCTTGAGTTCTGTTGTTATACTTCCCCATGCATGCATGCACTTTTGTTGGATGTTGCTGTTTTAACAGGTGACTTACTAAGCAATATTATCTAACATTATGCTTTCTCTGTTGATGGGAATAGATTGTCCCCCCTAAACAGCAGTAGAAGGTTTAATTAACAAACCTTTAATTAGAGACCAATGAAACAATGTAGTTGGCTTATTAAGTAGACTCATATTATGAATTAGCAGGGACTTTTTAATTCTGCATTGTTAAATAGTGAGAAAGTACTATGCATAGGGACAATAGAAATTTGCTTCTGAACACGCTGCATGAGACCTGTGGTTTTTGCTCATCTGTAGACTAGTGAATTTACCCTGAGAACGCTTGGTGTAATGATAGGTTTATTATTTTTACAGTTACAATGGAGGCATCTGTGTCGATGGTGTGAATTGGTTTCGATGTGAATGTGCACCTGGGTTTGCTGGTCCTGACTGCAGAATTAGTAAGTACCTGTATGGATAAAGACCTGAAAGTTTGTACCATTCTGCCACACCAATCGGAAAGAACACCACCGGGTGACCCTTTTTGCATTAGGCTAGCTGAATTCCAAATAATGAAGCAGAAACCACCTGTCAGTCAGCCAGGAACTAATACCTTGTAAATAATAACAATTTATGTTCCTTCCTTCATTTCATTCAATGAAATTGAAATGACTTGGCTTAAATTATACTCAAAGACTTGGTTGCTGGATTTCATCAGACATTTCTGAAGGTTCTGGGGTGTTGGCTTCATAGAAGTTTATGAAGTTTTAAGTATTTTCCTTGATAAGCAACTTGTCATTAAAGATGGCATATTTCACTAGGTATTCCATTTGACATTAGAAACTGAAATCTGTTGAGACATCGTAAATGAAAACAAAAACATCAGGAGTGTAGTGCTGGCATGTGAATAACATAGAGAAGTATGATAAAGGTCTTTCAAAGGTATAAAACAAACCTGTTACACTGAAATTATTCTGAAGGAGAGAAAGTGAAAAGGGGGAACAAAAGACCCTAAAACTGCATTGAAATGTTGTGGAAGAGTCTTTTTCTTTTTTTTTTCTTTTTTTTTTTTTTTTTTAAAATGGAATATTACCACTTTGATTTGCATGTAATAGATACCTTTTTTGTTTGTTTGTTTCTTTATTTTATTTCTACCTCTTTGGAAGATCAGACTTTGAGTGTTCTGTAAACTCAAGGCTGTCAGGCTTGGTCCTTCCACTCTATCAGTATGGTGATGTGCTTTCAAGTTGAGTTTTAATCCTCATTCTGGCAGATAGTAAATGAGCCAACACCTCTAGTCAGAGGGTGACTGTAGCACTTGTGGTAGCATCAGTTTAGTGATCTCTGGATATAGAACCAGGGATGGCAGATAATCATGTATCTAGGTCCAGACACGCAGTGAGGGATATTAAATTCTCCTTTTCTAGACAAGAAATGCAGAGAGGACTGTTTGTAGTCAACGACAAATACTGTGCATTTGTAATGGGACTGCAGACTCCTTTTGTCTATACCAGTCTAAACAAGAAAAAAAAAAAAAAAGTAGCTCTGACAAAATGCATTTTAGGGCTGATAACAGAAATAGAGTTAACAATCACTTTTTTCAGCATACAGAGGCTGGAGAATTTTAAACTAACATAGCCTGAAGAGAGGAGGAAAGAGTAGTTAAACCATGTAGTAGTTTAGATACTTCTGTATTTGCATAAAACTTTGTCTTAGAGCACTTCTAAAGGAAGCTAGAATAGAACTAAAAGCCTTTCCACATCCATTTGGTATTATCCATTGTCTACATGGGTAACAGTCTTACTACTACCATTTATCACATTCACTTTCTGAGTCCAGTCCTTTAAACACAGAAGATGAGCTGATACTGTGAATCAGTTGAGAATTGGCATTTAAAGTTTTTCTGAGGTGTTGGAGTGGGCCTTCATTTTCAATAGAAGGAAACCTTTTGATAGATGCTTTGGAAGAGAATGGTTATGTTGAAAATGAAGCAGTTGGTGCCTGTGGCTCACAACTTGACAGGTTAGCTTCTCTTGCCTTTTTTGGTAGACTGTTGCATAAAGTAGTATTGGTCACTTCCTCAGGACAACAAATAACACATTGCTGTGCATCTGAATGGACTATGCTTCCCTGCCTTTTTCAATAAATTTCTATGGCTAAGCCTCTGAATCTTTGAAGGTTGTTTTTTTAAGAGGCTTTTGTGCTAAGTGTGTATGTACTAAATTAATCTACTCAGTATTTTCTTAAAAAAGTAACATCAAATATCCTGTTACAAACTAACCTATTACTCCTTTTCCTTATGGTGAAATTGTGTTGCAGTAAGTCACTTGCTCTGAGCCAATTCGTTGTTTAGCTCTTGCACTGTGATAACTTCCTGAAAGCCATGTGCTTTTCTAGGAAGCCTAAATGTCTGAGACTAGTGCCACAACAGGATGTGGGACTTCAGTTCTGTAGCTGAATGGAGACAAGACATTAGCACCTTCAGCTGTCCAATACCTCTGTTCTGTGAGATAAGTCACCATATGACTGCTTCTTTCATTACCAGAACTTCCATTAGGGTGCAATTCTGAGAAATCTGTTGCGAGGTTACTGCTAAAATGGTACAACTGTCCAATTAGGAGCCTAATTCTGAAGCCAAACTGTCCTTTGCTTGTTAAGAAAGCAGGTATTGTCAGATTACATTTCAGTAAGTGTTTAATTACAATGTTCTATGTCCTTGCCATTGAGTTTTACCTGTTGTTTATCTAGATATTGATGAATGCCAGTCTTCCCCTTGTGGATATGGTGCCACTTGTATAGATGAAATAAACGGATACCGATGCACTTGTCCCCCTGGAAGAATTGGTCCTAGGTGCCAAGAAGGTATTCCTATATCTGCTATCAACCTTTACCCAAAAAACAGTAGGGTACAATTTAGCCAGTATAGAGTGTATATACAGTAGTCTGATGTGTAAGGAACAGTAGCTAGTATTTTTTTAATTTCAATTTGTATAGCTTCAGTAACCCAAAGAGGTGAAGTTGTCTGAGTGTGCATGGTTTTTTTTCCCTAAGTGATTGGAATTGGAAAGCCTTGCTGGCTTAAAGGAATGACCTTTCCCCATGGCAGCAGGTGGGATCAAGAATGTAACAACTGCCACTGTTTGGATGGCCATATTGACTGCACCAAGGTAGGTGTTTTGACCTATCTTCTTAAATGCTTCTGGCTGAAACAAACTTACTGTTCTTCATGCACAAGTTAATTTTTGGGTTTTTTTCTATCTAGACTCTTGCATAGGTCTCCCCCAAACTACCTTTGTTTAAAAAAAAAAAAAGTGTCTAATGAATTCCTGTGAAAATACTTAGAGGATTGTCTTCATAATCATAAGCTACTGTCCCACTCTCTACCTGCTGGAACAAGCCCTCTAGAAGCAGACAGGCACTTTTTGCAGAAAAGGAAATATGGACTGGAATGGAATAATGATCATTAAAAGAATAAATAAATAAAAGCCAAAGCTTTGCAAACACAGTTTTAGAGCTCCTAATTTTGTGAAACATTAGTTCCAAGGTAAAGGACATGTAGGAAAAAAGTTTCTTCAGTGGTTAATAATTGCCTTTTTGTATTGTCCTTCAGTAGGCTTATAAACTGACAAATTACAACTTTTGTGTATTTATTATGTACTATATCCTGGTGGTTGTGACTTAAAAAAAAATAAGACTAGCCTAAATGCAGATTGAACATGTTAGTTTACGTGCTCTAAGCCTTTCAGCACTTCTCAGTGGATTTGTGATACCTGTGCAGCTTTGCATCACAGCTGGAGAGAGACAAGATCAGTGCTGCTTATAAGTGGTAGGGCTAGGTGGGTGGCTCCAGATGAGCACTAATAGGACTTACAACATTGCTTCATACAGCAGTCTCCCACGTTTTGCTGGAAGCACCAGTTTAAAAACCTCTGGGTCTTATTAATCTATCCAGTCTTAATCTTACTTTGTTTAGCTAGGTATGCACTGTAGGCAAAGAAGTAACTAATCTTGCATGTAGTCATTTAGAAATGCTATTTTAGACCCTTTATGGTGTTATGATTTCAAGTTTGAAATGTCTTCAGAAGATAACAGTACATGAAGGTAACTAGAATCTCACAAATGGTGATGTGGTAAATGCAACTTACCCATATATGGTGTTTGGTTCTTTCATGTGTAACAGAACAAATATGCTTTCTTGCTGACAGTTGTGCTTTAAGAAATCCATAAGTTCCTAAACTAATAGCTGTCTAGTATTATATAGAATCTTAAAGGTTACATCATGAAACGGAGCTGTGTTTGGAAGCTTGCTGCACCTCAGTAGCTTGGGGTTACCAGCATGCTCTTTTCTTCTGGCAGAGTGGTTGAAGGGACAGTGCTTATCACCAATGTGCATCAGCTCTTAACGTTTTCAGCATTCTGTGGCAAGGCTGTCAGTATAAATACTGAAGGGAAATTAATCTTTGTGGAGGTGTTTCTCTTCCTAGATTATAGAAGCCTAGATGACTAGTTTAAAATAAATGCTTGAACTTCTGTATAACTCAGTTATGTGGGACAAATCCATAAGCCTCTAAGGAGGTATATCCAGTCACTGGTGTCTTGGGTAGTCTTTGCACAGTTTTTACTCTTTTGTCCATATAAAGTGTCCTCATTTTGTGGAAGAGCAACTCCATTTGCTACTAGGACTATAGTAGTATTGAAATGTGGATTTTTTTTGCAGTCAGTAGTAGATCATGACCATCTTAGCCGAATTGCTTGTTTTGATTTGATGCATAAGAGCAATTAACTGTAACAGTACTTTGTTCTTTTTACTTTCTAGGTGTGGTGTGGGAAAAAACCTTGTCTGTTACACAAACACTGGGATAATTCAAATAACCAGTGTCCCATGGGTCAGGAAATGAAATGTTTTCAGCCACCGTGCACGGACTGGGGAGAATGCAGTGCCTCTGAACCTCTGCCTGCCAATATCAAGTGTCTGCCTAATTCTGGATACTTGGACAATGACTGTGCTAGAATTACTTTAATTTTTAACGGAGACAAAGTCCCCCAGGTGAGAACAGAATTATTAATGAAGTATGGCAATATATGTAGGCATATATTCCATGTCAAAGCATGGAATATTAATGTTTCTAATATGACTCCTTGCTGTCATAAACTTGCAAAATTTATTGTTAGACTCCTCTGTTGCTGTTAATTGTGCTTTGTTTAAAGGGCGAGGCAAAATTAAGGCTTGTACTGCATATTTTATTTTCTTTTTAAATCTCAAAGAACTACTTTCTTACATTTCAAGATGGGCTCAGACTGTACTGGGATAGTTACGCAAGCTCAGTTTCTCACCCTTCATTCCAAAACGCTGTTCTTCACTTTTCTGCCCTTTCTTGCTGCCCTCTCTGCTGCCTTCATCAGCTCTCAGTAACTAAAAAAAAAAAAAAAAATCTGAAGATGTTTATTTTTATGTACTTGAACTAAAGTCATACAATCTCCCTTGCTTCTAACAGGGCACTACAACTGAAAACATCTGTTCTGAAATACGGTATTTACCAGCTACTAGGACTGTTTCTAGGGACAGAACTCTGATAATATTATGTGATCTGTCTTACTCCACAGAGGATGCAGTGGAAGTTGCTATTGTAAGTATAAAACTTGTATTAATATATATAGGAAAATGTTTTCTTACTAGTTTGAGCTGGGGAAGAAGTTGTTTTAAGCTTTTTTTCACTTCAGTGCAGGTACTGCAATCTGTGGCTTAGTCTGACTGCAAAGCAATTTTGTGATCTTACACAATTTCCTGTAAAACTAGATAGCTGAAGCTGTAGGTTTCATTAATGGCAGAAGGCTACCACAACCTCCTGATAAATTACTCCAAAGACTAATTCAGTGAACAGGTGCCTACCTCTTCTGTCAGAAGTCTTGGGCTATTGACCTTCTCAGTAAGGAGATACAGTTGCATGTGGCTGGGTTGGATCTTGTGAAGAAGTTTCTGCTGTGTATTTCAAGTATGGCTGCTTCAGGATGCTCATTAAATACATAAGGGTTAAATGGGAAGTGAAGGAAGGTGCAAGTTGAGTAGATGAAAGTAATTGTTGCCCTACTGAGCAAAGACTTACTTTAGAGGCATTCACAGCCCAATCACTCAATGCTTGCATATTGCTTAGTTTCCAAGAAAGAGTTAATTTTCATAGTAAAGTGTTTAGCCAGGGAGAAGCTGGACTGTCTGCCTCTACCAGTACCATAAAGAACATGCTGAGCCATGATGCAGGAAGCAAAGTGTATGGTATAAATAGAGCAGACTGTTATTAGTCCAAGCTTCTATCTAGATAATCCACATGTCTTGAAGTGCTCCAAATTATGACTAAGTTTAACTCAGCAGTGTAAGTAACATGGAAGTCAGCTGCCTTTTATTTGAGGTGTGCTAGATTAGCAAGTAGGCGTGTTACACCAAGTCTGACACTGCATCTGCAGTTTGGATAGAGCCAGCCATGCTAGTGCTACAGTAAACTTTTAGGGTACTGTTTGTAACTACTGTCAGGTAAATTCAACCTAGTGAACTCAATTAAGATGTAGCTGGATTTAAAAAGTAGATGTCCATGGTTAAGTGATTGCAATAACTTTTCGTTTTTCCCCTTCGCTCCCTTTAGTCTTTTGTCCCGCATCGAGATGAACAAGATAATAGTCTTATACAGAATGCTGCTAATACAATAGTAAATGCGATCACTAAGCGGCAAAACAGCACTGTTATGTTGGCAGTAACTGAAGTCAAAGTAGAGACCATCGTTGTTGGGAGTTCATCATCAGGTAAGGTTCCCAATGCATACATCCTCTGTGTGTGTGTAAGCATTTTCTGTTGCCCTACTTGTCAGACTTTCCTTATCTTTCTTTACGTGTTGGGGGAAATGATAGATCAGGTTGCTTCTTTAATTGCTCTTACTAACTAAAGAGAAAGTGG